CACAAAGATGGAATCTACCCCCGAACATATGACTAATAACAATCTGCCTAAACCTCCAAAGTTTCTCATATCACGTTATATGCACGAATTTCTTTTTTATATCGTAGTGGAGTTGAACGAACATCAAAATATGTTGGAAATAGACGAGACGTTGCTGCAAATTTGGAAAGAATCTGAGCCTGCATTGCAAATTAATCAGTTTTTAGAAAGTTTGCATGCTGGAGGTGAAGTGCAGCATGCATACACGCAGCAGATTAGCTGGCGCGCATTCATAACACCTTTACCGAACTATGCAGACAAACCTGCTGGCTGGGTATACTTTTTGGACGCCATTGACCGGATGCCGCTGTCAATTTTTAATAAAATATTTAGATTTCAGCAAACAGATGGCAATATGCTAGGTGAATATCTAACACATCCTGTGCGCCAGCACTACTTGCTGCGTCAGTTGCCAGTTGAATTACAAAATCAAATTAATCGCACGTATCTTCAGCGCATTTGTAGCTTGGTACTTAAATTATTGAATCACATGGGGTTAATACAGGTTAATGAAAACACTAATTTCAAAGATTCAATGCAGATATGGGTATATTTGAATCGACATGCACAAATCATCGATACCACACCATCAGAAGCGAGCTATGCCAAGGTCAATTTAGCCCAGAAGTATGAAAAGCTAGATTTCTATTTTTCAACATTCGAAGATATTGCTCAATACTGGAACCAGCTACATCGTATTTGCATTTACACCAAACTCGGTGTTCGTAGTGCCAAACTTCAAGGGAAATCTGAAAGGGCTAAGCTTCTACAATTTGTGCGTAGTGTAGGCTTTGACGAAGCCCCTCAATATGATAATGGCGACGTGCCGGGTGACCGCGCAGGTGCAGCTGGTCTTGCTGCTCAATTATTTGCGCACACCATGCGCGGTTGGTCATGGGTATTGCATACGAACACCAAACCGAAGCAAATACGCAGTGGCCGTGCAGCGTTGTTGCGTGGTGCCAGCAGCAAACACCTGCGTCTCATGGGTTTACGTAAGACACGCATGCACGCATCGCAAATCACGCGACTGTCACATTCGGCTACAGTAAAACGCACTACGAAAAAGAAGTCTGCCTCTATTCGGGACGCCACTGATTGCGATGCGCTGAAGAATATGCGTACTCTACGCGCCTGCTGGACCAAGGACGAGGATGATTTACTGAAGCTAGCACGCGCCGTGTACATCTATATAGCTGCGCCTGTACCGGTTTTGGGGCTCATGGTAGTTGGTAAAATTTGTCGAGACGTTATCAGACAACATCTGGGTATACGCAACAAAACGTCGCAAGCGTGCCATCGCCGCATGCAATATATCATGAAAAAGGATCGACATATTCCCGAAGTCCCCACTTGGGTGCATATCTTACAAACAAGCGTCGAAATACACCGGCGTTACGGGGAAAACTTTCTGCAACAATTGAAAAATGTCTATCCACAGCGCGAGGAATACAGCGACGCTTTAGCCGTGCACTTCATACAGATCTTTCATTATTTGTATCAAATGGTAAACAATATTAGAGGTAAGGGAACTTCAGATGCTATGAGACCACGATTTATGATACCCGACACTCTTGACGAATTCAAGCGCCGCTTTAGTATGCGGTCCGCAGCAACGGATGAAAGGATTATGAAATACCAAAATCCATGCAATGAACAAGAAGCGCTAACAATGCTTGCAGTTGGTGTACTGCATAGCTCACTTTGCTCGGCGCTGGACAAGACCACTTACACGGCGCAAGCTTTTGAGATTTTTAAAAAATTCTCGGAAGAAATACTGCAAAATGCCTTCAAGATAGCGCGTAATGGTGCCCTGATTGTGGCAAATAAACGCAGGATTCTAGAAATGCTGCCTAGTCAACTAACAAGTCCAGCATATTCGCTGTCGGCACATTATCAGCGTCGTTTGCTCTCCTTACGCATACCGTATTACATTTACGACTCCCTCTTTGGATTCTTTGAAAATGTCGTAGCTGTTTTGATGAAACCCAAACGGGAGCCCATAGAACAACCCTCGACTAGTAAGCGACTTTCCATAAGTAATATAGTGGAGCTAAAGTCGCCGAATGCCGGGCAACTATATTTTCTCGCTGAAGGCATGGCACGAAGTTTTTGGACTTGCAATGTAAAATTGCCCATCAACATTTTGACTGTTGACGCTGAGCAAAGGCAGACATTGTCCGCGATGGATCGCATACTGGATCATTATCATTGCATATTCGATAATGCACCTAAAACGGAGTATACGAAGAGTTTCGAGAGTGAAGCCAACGAGAAACAGGTAAAAAATAGTGATGGGGATGTTATTAGATTATAAATGTTGTAGCGGCACTTCCAAGCCCGGACTAAATCGGCTAGTGTATCAATCGTTGTAGTCAAGCGCAAGTAACGGCAGGCCCAGGAAATTTGCTCTTTCGACTAAGTAGGTCCAAATGAAATGAGGAGTTAAAAAAGGTGGGTTTAAGGAGGCATGTGAAGAGGTAATTGATTTCTTGTAGGGTGCTTTCACAAGCAGGAGTTTAATCTGCTACAATATCCATTCCGGCCTTAAATTTCCAAACAAAACTTTACGCTTCGTATTGTTGGACCCTACCTTACGGTCAACCAAAACTTACTAACACCAGACATGAAGTTGCAGGTCTTCAGATTATGCTCACACCCGCCTATGTTGCTTTACTACTTGCCGAGTGAGGAATAAGTGGGGTTGTCTGCCACAGTTGTGTGTATCGCTGCCTACTGGTGGTTGGTTGGCTGCGAAGGCGAGTTGGTTTGTTGCTTAGGTTAGTTACATGAAGCCCAGCGCAGGAAGTTGTGGGTCCAGGGCCGAACAACGATTGGTAGGATTCGCCGATCAAAACAAAGTTTATCGCCGAAACAACAGCCTTGGTAAAAGCCGGTTAATTTCTGTGCGTAGAATCGACTGTCATTTAAATGATATAAACTATACTATTAAATTATTAATAAGTGTATGTAATTCACTTAATTTGCCGTTAAAGGTCCGTGTTAAATTCCAACCAGCCAATTTGAGCTACAAAATCACCTACAGTCCTTATGACTTCATATCCAAGTTGCCCGTTCGACATCTACACTTTTTCTGTGCACTCGATCACCTTAATCATGAGGTAGAGATAAATTTTAGTCGTCTGATGCACAAAGATGAAGAACATGACACTTTAAGCATCGAGTGCCCCTTTAACTGCATCCTGAAGCATGCCAACTATATCAATGTCATTGAACGCATTGTTCAGGAGAAGAGATCCATTTTAAGGGAGCTAACAGAAATGCCACCGCAAAAGTTATTGAATATGGCCATGAGTGGTTGTTCGGTTACTGTTGAATCAACTAATTTGCTAACGCTGGTGCGCATGTTGGAGTCTTTCTGGCGCGAGAAAGAAACAGCGTACGAACGCAAAGATCTCGGGCGCATATCCGCAAATGTGAAGATCAATAAATCAATTGACTGGCATCAGTTGTGTTGTGAGATTCTAGAGTTCAATGCAGCGGACGAAGAGAATGACAAAATTGATGAGTATGAACCTACACTAAATAAGGAGGAGCGTTTGGCTCGCGCACAAGATGTTTTTGTTGTTAACTTGCCAACCTTGCAACTGGAAGTGAATAAAAAATTGCACTTGTGCAATAAAGAGACTGTGATGCACAGCGGGTTGTGTGTGCCCAAGAGGTTAGTGGAAGCTGAAGTCATTCGAGACCAGATATTGAGAAAGATTGTAGAGTAAGTGTGTAGACAAGTCTTAAGTATGAACAACCACATAATTAGTATTAATTTATTGTGCTAGTGAATCTCACTGGAAGTATACGGATAACACTTTTGAAGTACTTAAACCTAAACTTATCAAACTGGGTTTCACAGCTATGGAGCAACAGCACGTAGAAGACCTACTAAAATATATAGAAACGCATAAACTAGGCGTTTCCGTAATTGATTTGAAGGTATTTTGATATGTGGTTATTCTTTGAGTGGCAATCACATCGCATATTTCCTAAAAGATTGTTACAATAGAAATATAGATTTTTGTACAAATGATGCAGAAATAACTATTCATGCTTAATATTACTTAAATATTAAAATATTGCATCACCATTTTACATATAAACGAGTCCCCTGAAAATTCCGTTTTAGAGTTGTGACAGTCTTTTACTAAAAAACACGTCCATAAACCTAGCTGACCCAAGTCGGCAAAATTCAATAAAAATTAGCTAGGAATTAGGTGTCTTTTAGGTGTTAATTAGGGCCTCCAAAATTAATTTAGGTGTTCCTTTGGTTTCCGAGAAATTCGCAAAAATGTGTGGGTCAGCTAGGTTTATGGACGTCTAAAAAACAAATGTTGACAGAAAGTGACTTTCACATTAAATTCTCCAGCGTGAATTTCCTTATGCTCAATTTCTTTCGCGCGCCATACGTATTCTATCCGAGCACTATCTGGTCAAGCGCGTTGGAATTGACACAATGATGTATGTGCATAAATCTCACATACGACCTTGGGTTGTACACACGTTCCACCTCAAACGGCTGGAACGCGAAAAATTGGGACCGGATGGAACATTGACACTTAAACGAAAGATAACCAGTGGTGACTGTAGTGAAAATGAAAATATGGATGAAGAGGGTAGCGATGAGCCCGAAGAAGCTAGTTCCAGTAAAAGAGCTAAGTTGGCTAACGACGTCGGTGCCACTGCGGAAGATCAACAGTTGAGTAAGCGTGTGTCAAAACCGGTAAATCGGTTCCAGGGCGAAAATAGAGAAGGAAATGCCCCTGAAAAAGACCTCAAAAGGTAAATTTAAAATTGATTTATTATTTTTTCTTAAATTAACTACCACTAATCCCTGTAAAATTTGTATTCCCCAGAGATGTGATCGTAATGAAACCCCACCCGTGGATACGTCTGAACGGCACCATTAATCGGCGCGTTTTGGATCGTTGGTTGGGATCAGTACTCACCGAATGTGTTAGTCGCTCCGGTTGTATGATTCCAGATATCTGCTCAAAGTTTCCTCACTTGCCAGCTGTCGAAATAATGTTTCTGCTTGATATACTATGTGATCTACAGTGTATTCATCTAACGGAAATTACACCCGCTTCAGCGAACCTCTTCTCATCCTACGACAACCTACAAGAGAGTAAGTTTTTTGACTATAAATTGTGATTATTTTTTCTCAATCCTAATACGGATAACAGTCCGGAGCTAAACCGATTCACACTTTCATAACAAGCGAGTGTGAAGGATTAGATTCGGGCGAAAGGCATCCAGCGAACCGGATGTCATTGGCACAAATCTAATCCTTCACACTAGCTTGTTACGATAGAGCGAATGCTATTAGATCCATGCGGATACCATAATAGACATGTATATAACAAGAAAGGCATTCTTTTTAGCTATTGTAACCGAGTTCTATGATCCACAACACACTTACGTGACTGCACATGGGGACGCCATAACACGAATGTCAATATTCATTGGCCATAAAAAATACAGCCAACAATTTTATTAAGCTGCTTTTTATATTCCTAATATTTACTGTTTATTTATATTTTTCAACTTAACGGAACCAAAAAAAAAGAAATAAATAATTTATTGCCAACTATTTGCACTGCACTTCGTTTTAACCCTCTAAATTTTGTCTATAGAAATTATCGTTTAGTCAAAAACAGGTTTTCAATCTCTCTGCGCTCTTTTACACATTCGGCAGTTAGCACTTCTACATTATGGTCGCTGGTAATAAGCACATCATCCTCAATACGTATTCCAATACCGCGAAATTCTTTAGGAACATCTTCTCGATCGTGGCCTATATAAATTCCTGGTTCCACGGTGCACATCATCCCCGGTTGTACTGGGAATGTACGGGGTATCAGTGGTGTATCATGTACATCCATGCCAAGGTAGTGCGATACATGATGCGGGCAGAATTTATAGCCAGCCTAATACGATATAAATACATAAAATACAATAATAATAAGACGTTTTAAAAGCAATCCAAAAATCATATACCCTTGCATAACTAATGTCATCAACTATATCCTTAGGTACAAGGCCGACTTCTTGTAAGTATTTTCCTAACTTTACGCACATTGTATCGAAAAGTTGGTCTAATGTTTCTCCGCCAGGTTTTAATAATGTTGCTATAAGCACATTTGGATTGTGAGTATAATAGTGAGTAGTAAGTTTTTTAGCTCTTACCTATTAACTCCTTTTGTAACTGCAAAACCACGTCATACAAGATTTTTTGTGCCGGTGTAAATATTCCATCTATGGGCCAAGTGCGAGTGATATCACTCGTATATCCACCATATTCGCAACCAGCATCCATAAGCACCAAGTCGCCACTTTTTGTCAACTGGTTATTGCTAATATAATGTATTGTAGTTGCGTTGTTACCGCTCGCTACCACCGGCGGATATGCCATGTAATTCGCATTTTTCATGCGACATTTGTAGTCTACCGCAGCAAATAGCTGATGTTCCGAAAGTCCTGGTTTTGATTCACTTATTACCTCATTTATTGCTCTAGAAGCGATTTGGCAGGTTCGACGCATTAAGTCTTGTTCACTAGGTGATTTATATAGCCGAAGGCTTTGTATATAAACAGCGGGAGATTTAAGCTCTGAAGTATTACCAGTTACCTGTTGTATGTCGCTGGTAATAGTGGCCTGATCTGAGGCAGGTATATCATACCAAACAAGAGGCTTTTCGCTTTCAATGTATTTTTTTAGAATTTTCGAAAAGTGCGGTATTGTGTACGCCTCGTCCACACCAAAAAAATCGGGGGCATTTTCGGCCCCAGTACGAGCACCATCCCACATCTCAGCGTGTTTGTCTTTTGGCCTCATAAATAATATCGATTTGACATCTTCCTTCTCGTTTATAGTCAATACCAGGACCGAATCGGGCTCCATACATCCAGTTAAGTAAAAAAAGTCAGAGTTTTGCCGAAAAACGTAAGGAATTTTGTCGCTCATGTACTTTTTAGTCGCTGACGGCACAATTACCTAAACGTTTAGTTGAACATAGAAAGCACCATAGTGAAATAATATATCATTATGGAAAGCACTACCATCTTTCAAGTTATATGAACAATTTAATTTACCATGTGAGATTTCTTTTTATGTTGAAAATTTTTTTCACTTTCTTCGTCAAGCTTTTGTATGCCACTCAAAAGCCAAGAACGACGTTCCCGGAAAGTTTCCACTGTCTGGCCTATTACTAGCTCTCCCTCGTTAACAAGATGTGGATGGGTCACATAAGTGGGCTGTCCAAATGTTTCAGAACGTAAGGTTTGTAGGAAGTTCTTGCTCAGAGCAGCGGCAGCCGGCGCATCAGATGATGGTGCGGACGAAAAAGCCAGAGCAATGCGATCTTGAGGAAATAATTATGAATTAGGATGCATCAGTGATAAATAACTTTCACTACATACCGAACTTGCGAAAAGACTTTATTTTAAGTTGAGCTTGCCTCACGTTCTTTAGTAATGACATATTTAAAAAATTATTTTTTTTTTAATTTCCTGAAAATTTTTTATTTAAATAAACCTAAATGAGTACAAAATGTCAAAAAAGAACTGTCGAGGAATAGTTCAAGAAAAAAAAACAGCTGACTCCAATTGTGAATGGATTTTTGGAAGAGTATTGCTTATCCAAAGCATACTCAGGGCACATTTGCACCCAATTTTCTCCCTCAAATGCAAAATTTCACTGATTCAGTATTTAAACCATTGACTAAACAACCGCTCGACACACATGTTGGGTGGTTGATAAGAATTAAGGATTTCTTACAGTTATGTTCGCCTCCAGCCAAGTTGCAACAGATGTTGGATTATGTAAAATCCGCTCTTGGTATATAGTGTCCATTATTTTTCCCTACACTGTATTTTAATAATTCTTGTTCTTGTATTTAATCACGATCCCAACGCTTGCAAAAGTATAATCTTAAGCATCATCAAAATAAAGTGATATCTGCTAACTGATTTTCAAAGGAATAATAAACTATTTTCAAAAGGCATGGCATTAGGAGCATTTAGACAAAAATCTTCGCTTTCGTTTGGCTCTTTGGGTTAGTATACTAACAGATGAAAGTCCAAAGTTCATAACGTAGGCCATTTGTGTTCGTATTTGATAAACAGTTTCGCGAACTTCTTTGGCCACCAGAGTGCAGCGCAATATGAGCAGTACTAATTTACATAAATCTGAGGACAACTTGAAGTACAACAATTTGCTTATAACTACTCCAAAACCATTTGTATACCAGGTGGAACTTAATCGTCCGCAAAAACTTAATGCCTTCAATAGGAATATGTGGATGTGAGTACTTTGATACATTCGCTTTAAAAATTTAAGTTTTTACTAGTTTCTCTTAGTGAAATTAAACAGTGTTTTGAAAGCCTTAGTACGAATCCCGAATGCCGGGTAATTGTTCTATCAGCAATAGGGAAATATTTCACTAGTGGACTTGATTTAGGTGATGCTATGAAATTGGCCCAAGAATTGGGTGTAGCTGATGATGTAGCTCGAAAAGCTGCAGTGTTGGAACGGACAATTAAACTGTATCAAGATTCGATGTCTTCCTTGGAAGTATGCAGTAAACCTGTAATAACAGCTGTACATTCGGGATGCATAGGAGCTGGTGTTAGCCTGATAACTGCTGCTGATGTACGTTATTGCACTGAAGATGCCTTCTTCACTGTGAAAGAAGTTGATATTGGTCTGGCTGCAGATGTGGGTGCATTACAGCGCTTGCCAAAAATTGTGGGTAACCAATCGTTGGCTCGCGAACTTTGCTATACAGCACGAAGGTTCGGTGCTACTGAAGCACAGAGCATTGGTTTAGTTAGCAAAGTTTTCCCAACCAAGGAATCTTGTGTGGATGGTGCTTTGGAGTTGGCAGTCATCATAGCTGAGAAGAGCCCAGTAGCAGTGCAAGCAACCAAGGCTAATGTAATTTTCTCACAGTCGAGACCAAATCAGGATGGCTTGGATCATATAGTAAGGAAATCGTAATTCCATGTATATTTTGAACTAAAGTATGTCTTTTCAGCGACAAACAAATAAGATAAACTTGCAATCTGAAGATTTCGCTAATGCAGCTGTGGCAGCATTGACGAAGGAACACCCAACATTTTCAAAATTGTAATACCAGTAATATTCTTCATTTAATTTAATTTTTCTATTTGTAATGTATTAAGATAAGAATAAATACTATAAATACTACTTATTATTTAAGTTAATCACTTGCATTAGTGTAACATTTGCGTTAGCCGCTCCATGTTGATAGCATACACAGAGTGCGATGCTATGAGATTGTGGTCATTGAAAGCTCGCTGAGCATCCCTTAATGTTATCAATTCACGCTTTTGGGGCTCGCTGTAATTGGAATTTGCTTCTTTAGAGCATATACTTACATATTTACATACAATATCGGCAAAATAAATTGCATAAATATACTTACACTTCTTCACAGGCTGACAAGAAAATTCCGTCCTCATTAGAACGACGCAGGAAATTCGGCGAAGTTATTTCTTTATCCAACTCCAAGGGTCCGTCATCAATTTTCTGTCGTGTAACAGTATTACGCAAGGAAGGATCCTTTAATGGTGCACCAACATCATAGTAAAATGACCCATCCCCTGTTACTTTGTAATGTTTGCGGTTCATTATAATTGCAGATACAAGATTTTTCAAGAGGACCTGCACTGCCATTGCTACATACTCGGCTACATTGTCTTCTACATTAGTGAGTTCCACCTCCCAAGCTCCGATAAGAAATCGTCCCAGAACAAATCCCGCGTCTGGCAAAAACAATTCTTGTACACAATAACGTTGGGTAGGCAATATTTGTACATTAGCATCGGTGCCCGCCGTAGGCCGAATACATTCTAAATTATCTTCAACAATGAAATCAAGAAAATCATACGGTTCGAAAGTAACACGGTCACTATTTGTTCGAGAGCTTCGTTTGCGTTTCCTGCTCCGACCGCTACCGCTCCCACCACTGCCTGTTCCAGGTGCGCTGCTTGGAGTACCGCTGTTGTTATGTGTAGCAAAAAGACCTGGCGACTGTTCTGGTGTGTGAAATGCGTCGATTTTGTTTAGAATTGCGAGCAGAAATTGATTATGCAAATGCATTTTTTCAGGGGTGAGAAATTTTCTAGATTCGCTGTCGAATTCTTCTTTGGACCACTTATAACGAAACCATAGCTTCATGTTAGCCAAATATTTGGAGACGTTGTCGCCCAAAGCGGCCATTAAAGCCGTTTTCGCAACAATTACTTTATCAGTTAAATCACTCATTTGTAGCTCGATTCAACTTGGTAGTGTAGAACTGGACAACTTTCGATGGCAGTATCGATAGTATCGATGGTTTTCGACTATCGAAAGTTTTCACTTATACATACATTATTCAGTAAAGCCTGATATACAGTTCAATGCGAGCGTGAGCGTGAGTTTTTTATTTTGACCAATATCTTCGTTATTACCCAACTTTTCGCTATAGTTGACACATAAAAAGATAGAGAATTAAAATATCTTTCAGAATTATAGAATAAAAACTAATTTAAAATGCATAATATGCCTCTTTTTCGAGCTCACACTGAACTGTGCGTACGCAAAGCATTCGCATATGTGAACGGCAAGTTTTGACGGATGTGGCATATTACGCATTTTAAATTCGTTTTTTGTCTATAATTCTGAAAGATATTTTAATTCTCTATCTCTTCATGTCTCAACTATAGCAAAAAGTTGAGTAATAACGAAGATATTGGTCAAAATAAAAAATTCACGCTCACGCTCGCATTGAACTGTATATCAGGCTTAAGAGTAAAAGCCGGCGGTACCTTTTTCATCTTGTGAGTCGGAATGGAAATTTAGCAAAGCACGGTAAATAATTTCAGAGGGCAGATGCCACTTGAAGCCAAAAGTCGTTGATGAACTTTTGTTCCTTAACAAAAATATAGATATATTTTGATCTCATTTTGAATAAAAGTTATTTTTAATTTGTAGACTTTTTTAATCAAAACTATCGATAGTGTGGACATTTTCGATAGTATCGATACTATCGATGGTTGTGACTATCCATCGATAGTTTTCCAGCGCTATGGCAGTGCTTCAAAACCATCGATGTTATCGATGGTAGAGCCGAAAAACTATCGATGGCAACATCGATAGTATCGATTGTTTGCATTTTATTGCCAATATCGACACCAGCAATAATTTTGTTTAATGGGCCTCCGCACACTGGACTGCTCAGTCCGCCTAAAACCGGTTTTGTGTTGGTAAGAGGGGGAAGAGTTCGAGTTTACCTCGCTCTTTTCAAACCGCGAAAATCTCAACCTCAACCTCGAAAACCTCAATTTGAGCTCAAACCTAAATGTTTATTGGGTATGATTAATTAATCCATTTTTTCTTTTTTTGCCATCCCTATGTGTTACAAAAAAATAATCGGTAAATTGTCGTTTACGACACAATCACAAAAAGGGCTCGATATTTAATAGCCCAGGCACAAATGTCAAACTCATACCATGGATGTCGCTGCCACAGTATAGACAGTAACCAACCTTTTTGGGTTGTTGTTTTAGTAGTCGTTGTTGTTGTAGTTATATGTATTCACTCCTGAGGAAGGCACGGGGTTGTGTGCTGCTATTTAATGGCCTTCCTCAGACTTTTTCTTAGATTTCAGGGTTGTGTGCTGTATTATTATTAGATAAATAAATTTAAGTATTTGTCAAATCGTGATTTTATTAAAAGAAAATTAT